TATACTAAAATTTTAATTTTAATTTCAATTTCTATCAAACAAGGGGTTATTTTTTCATGAATGATCACGTTTAGGCCTAAGTATCTTTCAAATTAATGACGCTCTATCGGTCACTTTTTTTCTAAATAGAAAAATCGTTTGGACTTTTTTTTTTTATTTTTTTTTTGTAGCAGTCACAACAATCTCTATTTCCATGACAAGTATCATGCACAAATAGAGAGTGTTTAGCAAATTTTGAGGTAGAAACGAGATGTTTAATCACTTCAAATTCGTTACTTTTTCTAATCGAATGTTTAACATGGGGGCCAAAAAGAAAACTACGAGAATGATCTAATTAAAATAAAAGATAAAGTTTAATGATCATTTTGAAATAAAGTTGGAGAAAACCGACAATTAATTGGAAAGCTTGCATCAATATGATATTTGAATAATGATGAAACTAGTCAATCATATCCCTCTTGTTTGAGGCCCATTTACTCAAAGATCATCATGACATGCAATATAATGATAACAATAATGTTACAAGAATAGAAAATTTGACATAATAATTGACATAATATCATGTGATATTTCATCATTAGACTGTTTTAAACACAATCAACTGTCCCATTCAACTAACTCTCAACACGACTTCTTAGGTCACTGCATCTGGTGGGATTTTTCTGTCAAAGTTACATTATTCATAATGGTAATTTCCATCTTGCATTAGGTATGGACATGTCATACTTAGTGCTGATTGCGCTCCAAGATTTTGTCACTTGTACATTCACTTTTACCACTTTGTTAACAGAAAAATGTGTTGACAAAAATATATTGAATGAAAAGAAAGCTTTTAATAAAAAAAAATTTTTATCAAATGATTGTGATATTTTGTCAAAAAAGATGTCAAATAGAATGTACACTAAAACATGATTGTTTTTTCAAAAATACTTTTTTTTAACTTTATTTTTAACTACACATTCTCTTGTAAAATAATTTTACACGTAAATTCAAAACCAAAAATCAATATTTCAAAATACATTTTACTCCAAAAATGGGGATTAAACCGAGGATAAACCCTAGTTGCTTAAAATTTCTCTCTTCCACGGCGAATTTGGTACCGCTTAAAAGTATAATTTTTAACTTTATGGATAGTAAATTTATGTTTGGCTCATGTTCATAAACTGTTTGTAAACACGATAAAGTTATTTTTTATTTATATTTTGAGAGATTCATAAGAACTAGTCACTTAGCTATTACTCATTTAATTTATTTATAACTTAAATAGTTGTACACATTCTCCAAACATGCTCTTATGCTTTTGTGGGCTTTGATACACATACCATCCAAATGAATATCATACCCCCCCCCCCCCCCCCCCCCCCTTTC